TCTAGCTTCTCTTTTAGCACTTAAATATATTTGCACCAATGTCCAACCTAATACAACCTTATCTATAATTCTTCCAGAGACCCCTAACCTTACGACTTCCTTATATATTAATAGACGAATTAAACAAACTTATAGCCAATACAAGTTTGATATCACATACCTTATTAAACATAAAAATCTCAACATTACCTTCAACCAACAGAAAGTAATAGCCCTCTCAAGTAATACTGCTAAGACTCTTGATTGGAAGCACCCAACCTTTTCAATATCCCCTCCTATTTCTAATATTCCCTTCTCCAATACCATTACTTGGATAAAGACTATAATCAAAACTAAAAGACAACTACATATTAGATCACTCAAATCTTGGATAGACAGACCTCTATATAAACTGGATTCAATTCTTGTCAAGCAATACAAGCAATTAATCACAAATGAAAAATTTAAACTTTCGGCCATACTTACTTTTAGAATAAATATTCTCTGTCGCAACCTTCCAACCAGAGTAAAATTAAATACTCAATACCCCCAGGTCTACCCTAGCAGCACATGCCTCCGTTGCAATTCACCTCTGAATCCTTTGAACATATATTCTCCTGTCCGTCAAACTTTTCAATAATCAAGGAAAAAAGCAAAAGCATCATTAAGCTTATCCTAGAACTTATCAACAAAAGTGATAGCATTCAATCCAAGACTGACCTCAATGATATAATAAGTAACCTTTTAATTTCTGAACCTCTTCTACTAAACTGGGCAACAGGTATTACATCACCAATCACAGATCTTTTAGTAAAGCACAAAGGCACAATTGCAACAAAGGCTTTAAAGATTATTTTCAAATACATCTGGATCCCCAGATCAGTAACTGCTAATACCTCCTCTGCAACAGGGATATGCTGGAAGAGAATCACTCCCTATCCTCAGCAAAAACAACCCAATAAGAAAAGATTTCCACCTACTACTCTCCTTTTAGACTGCTTTACAAGATCCAACCCAATGCAATGCATCGATAAAACAACAACTATATATATTAACAAAATTATTCAACTTAACAACCCATCCCCTCAAAATTCTTCACTGTTTATGGATAGAGCAATCGCTGTCTATCCTTACCCATTTAATAGGCCTCTTTGAGCACCGAAAAAATGCATGAGTACCTGCGTCTAAGCGAATATTTGTATTCTAGCACTAGATATCGATATTTGATGTAACCTTGGTCAAACGACCATAATTATATAAATATTTTTATAATTAATAAAGTTCTGCATCTATTGCTCTGTTCGCAGTTAAAAAAAAAAAAAAAAAAAATTTTAAAAAAAATATAAGAAATAAAATAAGTTTTAAGATACAGTATATTATATATAAATTTTATAATTTTTGACCATATAATTAATATTTTAAAAATTGTTAAAAGTTAAAATTTATAATAAAAACATAGTAAGTGGACTCAAATTTTTGAAAACAACTATTATTAAAAAAAAAATTTTTTTAATCCATAATCATGTCACAATGACTTGTTTTTATTGAGAAATTAAAGTAAATCTGCAAAAATTTATAGACTTTTATAAAGTAACTAACTCATCTTTATATATAAGTACATTAAGTTAAATTTTGGAACAATATTATACTTCCCTGATAGATTGATAATAATTTCTATCTATCTGGATCATTGTCAACTGTTTATTCTTTGAAAACCAATAAATTGCTAAACTAAAAAGAAAAAAGAAAAAAACAATTAAGGAAAAGAAACAATTTAGATCTATCAAAAAAATCTAAAATAAAAATAATCTTTTCTTAAAAGGGATCTACTCGATTGAAATAGTTTTTTTGTTTCATTTGAACCTTGGAAGAAATATTCTTTTTTCATTACCTGTAATTAATAATAGGTCTCTAAAGTATTTAATATATAAAATTTTGCAAATCACTTATGTCCCTTTTTGAGGGACAATATTCATAGCTCTTTACTTTAATAGGAACAAAAGTTAAAAATATTATAAATTAATGATTTAGATAATTAAAAACAATTGTGAGTAGTTTTTTTATAATTATTAATTTAAAATTTTTAATGTTTCCTAATAAGGGACATTTGACTTTTGTCCCTATCTCTCTTTTAGGAACCCATCTTTACCTGTGGTATCAAATGAATCAATTTAACTAGTATTTCATTTAAGTGAATACTGAATTGGGATATCTCAAAAAAACATTTAGACCTTAACTTTTTTTATTAAAGCTTTGTTACCAGTTAAAGAACTTAGGTAAGAAATAGGTATTTGTAATTCATATTATTTATTACTTGATCTTTTAATATTATGGAAGTTTTCATTAAGGAATCTGGGCTTTTGGAGGCAAATATTTCTGAAACCTTCTTTTCCTATTATCAATAACATTATTAGAACATATGAATATAACCAATAATAGCTTATTTATATTTCAAAAACTAATGTGTTTTGTATTAGCCAATCATCATTGGTGAGAATTTGTATTACTCAAAATTCAGGGTCAAATCAAGATAGGTAAAATTCCCTAGAAAACTATAAAAGTGAAAGCTCTAAGAGGGTCAAAACAATCAAAAAAGGAGAAAATAAATCTTTTTACTGTAGAAAATCTCTATAAACTTTTTGCTTCAAAGATTAGATAAACCTTCAGGTACTTTCCAGTCAGTTTTTCTTTCTTTGAGAACTTTTTTGCTGTTAGTATTAAAGGTGTTACTTAACTTTTCTTTATTACTAGAAGTTAAGTTTTTGAGTGAAAAGGTTTATAAAAAAGGGAAAAGGTAGAGGTGACTCTTGAAGCATATTTCAAGTTGTTTTAAGGAAAGTATTAAGACTTTATTAGCAAAAAAGTATAAAACTTCTTGCAAACATCTTTTTTGTATATAATCAGAGGATTGGTAAAAAGAGCTTTATTAATTTTGATAAAATATATAATTATATCTAAAAATGCTTTTATTAAAATAATATCTAAATATCAAGTATAAATAAAAAATTACTTTCTATTTTTTATAGCATATTTTAAAATTTCTTTTTATTTAAATAAAAGTTTATTATATAGATCTTGATAAAAGTAGCAGAAGATATTATATCTGATACTAATATTTATATAAAATTCAAAAAGCTATTTCTTGAATAATTATAAAAGGTTACTGATTTATAACAATTTATTAAACATAAGCTTAAGTGAGCCATATTCATTTATTGGATTTGAACTATTGAGTTGTCTCCTATTTTGACTTTTTAATAAATATTTAGAATTTTTTAATGGTTTCTTATTATGTTCTATTACTAAATAGTTCAAGGTTCTATGATGTCTTTGTTGAATATTATTGTTGTTCTGATATTAATATTTTTTTTTTTGCTTGATTGTCTATTTATATTTAAATATTGTAATAGAGCTTACAGATTTATTATCTAAAGATAAATCTGATATAGTTTTAATATCTGTTTTTACTTTTATACAGTATATCCTAGTCTATTTTTTAATCTTTTAATTTTAGATTTGAGACCTATTATAGTTTCTTTCAATATGACCTTAGTACTCCAAAATAGTCTTAATTCTGACAAAAAGATATACTGCTTGCAAATTCTTATTATAGTTTCTTTTATTGTAAAGTATATTATTGTAAAGTTTTGTTTTTTTAATGTATAAGAATTTCTTGATATATAACAGATCTTGACTTCTGAACTATTGAGTACCCTGCTACTAAACTTGAGAATATTTTATTTGTATCTAGAAGTTTAACCAAATATTTGTTTTATTTAATTAGAACTTTATTTATTTCTTAATCTGTCATTTTTTTTTTGATAAAGTTTGTTTTTGTTATTTTTGTTCTAAGTAGTATCATTCATATTTCTTCTATTTGATTTTAAAATATTCATATCACATGAAATAAATTTTTGGTTTGATTTTAATTGTTGCTTATAAAAATTGATATTTTGAATTCCTTCCTATCTTTTGAGGTGTTCTTTTATATAGTATTTGAAAAATTTGTGCTTTATATTTACTAGACTTATATATCATATATCATATTTTTTTTTGGATTGTGAATTTTAAATTTCTTTTTTTCTATTTTCTTAATAAATAGCCATTTTTTATCTAATTCTAATTATTGGAGACTAAAGGATTTCACTTTTTTATTTATTCAATATAGATATTTAAAGAAAATTTCTTCTTCTTTAGAATAGAAAATTAAATATTTGTTATATTAGTAAGGCTTTTATGGAAAAAGTTTTGTTTATCTTGAGATAGTTTTAAGATACTATGTAGATAAGCCTTAGTTTCTTTTACTTTCTAGAATATTTGCTATTATAATCCTTAATCTTTTTTTTAACTATGTATTAGTCAGTTTATTTGATTATTGAGTTCAGGTACAGGAATAATGCAAGCAATTTGTAAAACTATATACCTTACACTACTACAAAAAATAGTTTGCCAAATGTGATCCACTTTAACTAATAATTTAACTACTCAAGTTAATCTAGCATACACAAAGTTCTACTAGTGTATTTGTTAATAGAAGAGAAGAGAAAAGGATGGTGAGAAGAAAGAATATATGAACTATATCCTTTATGACAATATGTTGTCAAGGGCTAAAAAATTAAAAAACCTTTTTGTAAAAATACTAAAAAAGCATATTTGTTATATATTGAAACTTGAAAGTTATAGTAGTTATATTGTATGAATAGATGTTATATATATTTTACCAGAACTTTTATAATAGTTTTGCTTCAAAATAAGGATAACAGATCTTGGAGCTTGTTACTTTGCAGCTCATATGGGAGAAGAAGATTTGATAAAGTACATATAGAGTGACAGTACTGGTAAAATGGTGCCTGTCATTATTCTGCAATAACTTCCAATAATGTTTATTTCCTGGCTTATTAATTTATTAAGTAGATTAGAATCTTTCAATGTCAAGTGACAGTCATACCTACTTATTTATCTTTACCTAGATTACTTCAGTACTATGGAAAACTCTTTTATTTACTTTGGTAAACTTCATCTTCAGCCAGATTCCAGATATATATTGAAGTTAACTACTCCAACTAATTAGGAAGGAGGTTCTTTAGATTATTCATCTGGTCAGTTAGTTTGGTGTGGAAGGGGTGATAGAAAGGAACTCCTCTTGGTAATAATGAATAATTTGTATCTTTCAAAATGAGAATGATTTTTTCTTTGATAGAGAAAGAGTTAGGAAGGAGTATATATACAACTGGATCTATAACTTTTATTTGGCAAATTTTTAATTTTACATTCAATCCATTGGATCTACTCAATAATACTACAGTATATTTATATGTCTCTCTCCCCAATATATACATCAACTATTCCTAGCATCCTATCTATATTAACTAGTTATATTGACTATATATACTATATGTATAAGTACTATCTTATTGGAAAGTCATGTGATTTCTTTTTAATTATTCTCTGCACAATTTTATTAAGAGCAGGCTGATTATTAGGCCATTGAATTTTCTTTATTCTGGACACAATATTTTGATTCTTCAGAGTGATCCAAGGATTTTTCCTTCTATCAAGGTTTTCTGATAGTTAGAACAGGACCTATCTTTTACTATTCAGTACTTGTGTAGTCATAGTTCTTTAGAGGTACTCTATTAGTTAGTCAAATATACTCTTCTTATTGCTAGGGGTAGTATTATTAATTTAGAATTATCCTAACTTTTGACATCAAAGATTGGTTTAATCACAATATTTATATATACTATCTATTGGATCAACAGGTTCGTTCCTTATTAATTAGTAATTATATTCAGAAATAGTAAATATCTACAGTTAGGTCAAAGATATATATTCATAATCCCTATGGGATTTGAACTTGTATCTTGTGTTCTGATCTATAGAGTACTAATCGTGCACTATTGACTCATAGGTTATTTTAGTTCTTAATTGGTATACTTCTTTTTAGCTTATATAGTATAAATTTAAAATAGAATTGTAATTTTATTTTATTTTATTTTTTAAACCAATGGTCAGGTCAATACTGTATGTTTATTAATCAATATGAAAACTGATGGAGATACATAAAGCAATTGTATAATGGCTAATCTAAGACTTATATTGACACACTTGTTAATAGCTTTCAATTCTCAAAAGAGCTTTAGTCTCTAAGTGCA